AACCAGTCACGACTTGAGCACTGGAGTTTTCTCGTATCTCCAGCAGTTTGTTTGTGTTTGCTCTTAGGTATTATTGGCTCTCTGCGATACTTCCCTTTCCTTTGATTGATTTGATTTTTTTTTTCTGACACTCAATCAAATGACACTCAATTCAGCACAGCTGTATTAGTAATGTTAAAAAAAAAAACAGTAGGTAATAAGCTTATGAATACAAATTAATTACTAAGTACACAGGGTCCAGAGGAGATGTGTTTGTCTTTAGAACATCAAAACCCGTCGAAAACCAAATGGGTTATTTTGATCGCGTTACAGTTTCGTTACACATTCTATAGACCGCAAACCAAGAGACTGAGGGCTCGCAAGATCGGCTTACAGTATAAAATACGGAAAGGGAGGAAACAAATTTGGGGCCGATTTTCGAATCCCTGAAACTCTAAGGGAATTGAATGAAATCGCCTGATTTTACTAACCTGATCTAGAATTCTTATGCATTTGCCAAATACTGTAGGAAAACGGCATAAAAAAAGCGTTCAAATTCATTTTCGGCGACCGAAATTTACGGCTTCGAGATAGCGCTTTCGTTCGCTGTGCACCGCAACAGATGGTGACGGAAATGACGTAGTAAAGTAAATGTGCTCAAGATCGGAGCAATAAAAGGGAAGCCTACACGACTTTTGCCTCATGCCAAAATGCTGCTCGTTCCAATAAAGTTTTTTTCCTCAGCTGTGGAAGGTTCTACAGCAAATGTGATTTTAGCGGGGATTTTAGCCGCATGTTTCACATTGAGAGGTCATGACACATATCGATTTACTGTGGTCATTGTTTCTGGTCGGCAGGATTTGCCCTCTGATGCAATCTTTCTTTGACCTCTTTTGAAGCGTAAAGCTTTTTATTACGGCTGAACAGGGGTTCCAGTTTTCTCCAAAGTGCCTTCTGGATCTGAATAACTAAGCGATTTTCTTTAGTCCGTGAATGTAATGTTTTTCTGCAATGCTGTATCACGCTGGGCCCAGCTCGTTAGTTTTGTTTGGAGAATGCTAAATTGTTACGGATAGTGATTTACGGGTCGTGTGTACTCTTGCAATAAAACGTGACACTGAGTAGAGCGGACGTACAAGGCAACTGTAATATCATCACGACTGTGCCATTCTTCGGTGGTCCAACTATATTACGTCTTACGTCTTTGGCTCTGAGTTTTGCGACTACTGGGAAGCCTTCGCACAAGCAAAACCTGCTTAAGACATCGAAGACTGTTGAAAAGTACAACAAATGTCCAGTGTTGAAAGATCTTCAATTCAATTAAAACTCTGTTGCCTTCGTTGCCTACGCATAGATCTCTGAGATCTTTAAAACTCCGTCCGCAGCTGATGTTTTGATTCTCGAATTAGCAGCGGTCTGTTGCTTTTGCGTTTCCGGTCTCATTCACTTCCGTTACCGAGTGATGCGGTTCACAGCGAACTAAGTCACGTGGTACAAGTTTCCTCCCTTGTCCTTTCTTTTACTCGGCACTTCGTGCCTCAGTCGCCCTTCGGTCACCCTTCGGGCGACGTGCCGTGAGCCAGCGAGGATATGGCTTGCGGTTATTGATTTTCAAAAGTCGATCTGGGTCAGCTAAGAAACGAAGAAATCGTTTACAGTAGATTTATAAAGATCCCACTGGGCTATTTTTCAAGGTGAGACTTTAAATAAGTAATTCATTTATTGACACGAAACTCCTCTGGACCCTGTGCTGAGTATCCAAAATGTCTCACTCCATTCTTAATTAATGTATTTTGAATGTAAAAAATAACCAAAGTTAAGAAGATGATTAAATACACTTCAAATAGGTGATTAAAAAATCAACAAAGCCACAGATTCAAAAAAAACCTGCTTCTATCCAATAACAATGTCTTAGTCTTGTTGTAAATGCTACATTCTAAATCTATCAAAAATCAATGAATTATGAACTCATTCAACGCACAAAAAGGGTCAAACAATTCAGTAAAGTCTACGTATATAAAAATACTACCAACTTATTAGTAAGCACACAAAATGT